ATCTTTATTTTGAATAAGTAACATTTCACAGCTGGTAAATAACGAATCTTGCAAATATGATGTCGTGAGTTCGAATCTCTTATGGTGCACTTTTTAACATGTTTTCTATATCTTTTTGTTACTAATTTTCTTTCCTTTTTTGGAAATTAGGCTTGGGCTTTTAATACATTTTAGATAACTTAATCTCTAAGTTTTTTATAACCTAATTCAAGTCTATAAATAAGACTCTTATTTGTCCTAAAAATTCATCCACAATTTTGCAATTGCACAGTTACAATCAAGAATTTCACAATTAGCAGATCTACAAAATTTCCAATCACACACAAACTTTTGTTTTGTTTTATTTTTAGGTTTATAAACCTGTTGTTGTCTATATCAGACAACAACAACAATTTATTTATTCTTGGCCAAGGATTTTATATGAGGTCCTCCCATTTACTTTCAATTTCATCCTTTTAAATTCATTTGCAGTTTTTACCATATGATGATAACTATTTGATAGACTTTTTTATTATTAACAAAAATTTGATTTTTTACGCATTATATATAACTATTTGTACATATTAACACACACACATTCTCACAAAATTTACTAAGATCTCGTTTGGTCAAGCTTTTCATCGTAAGGAAAAATTACTTCTTTTTGAAAACACTTTTTTTACCATCATCCTTATCGTCTATGTTTTCACTAATCTTTTTTACAGTAACATACCAACAATTTCAAATCTTTCAATATTCACCGCAAACCTCTAAACCATCACCATGCCAATATTTGTTCTTCCAAAATCCAAAACTAAACATATATCATAACACCATAAGCTCTGTATTAACAAACCAATCCTTGAATTCTTATCATGGATTTTAAAAGATGAATACTACTCACATAATTTCATTGAAATACACATATCTCTCATACAAATTCTGAATTTTGTTTTAACTATTTTTCGACATTACATGGTTAGATTTGTTTTGCAGGCTTGGGATGCCATATTGTTACCAGCAATACAAACTCGGAAGAAAACAGATCGGAAAAATGTAGATGAGAAGGAGTAGAAATCAATACGCACTCAATCTCAGTATTTTGCCTTTAAAGTTTCAAATAATGTGGGTTTTTAATTTTTTTATTATCATCATTATTATATTTATTATGATCAGTATATTTAGTATGATTGTAAGTAATTTTGATAAAGTCTCATGAATTCTATTGTCAAATAAATTGCAGTATTCCTAAACTGGAAGCGACAATGTTAGGAATATTTTTATTTTCTTTACTTTCTTACTATAATATTTAAGTAGACTTTATATTCATTTGTGGATTTTTAAAATCAATAGGGTTTTATTTTAATTAGTTCATTAAATCTTAGTTAATTTAATTATGTTATTGTAATTAGAAAATGCTAATAAATATGCCTTTAATTTTTTAAGTAATTAAATAACTAATTCAAACAATCCATAAATAATAGGATGTCCATCTTAGTAATTAAATCGATTGACACATAGTCTACTAGTTTATTATTCAAAAATCAAATATTAAAATCACCGCAACTCACAAATTACTGGTCAATATCTGGCCACGTGATGAGGAGACTATATCAGACTCCCCCCGCTTTGCGTCTTATCTCATCATACTCTTTAATCAAATTCAAACTCAAAACCGCTAACCAACAACATCAAATCATTTTATACTAACATAATTAAAATCCAAGATCATTTTCGAAAAAGGATTAAGGAGAATTATTTTCAAATTAATTGCGAACTACGTCTACGCTCACACAATTTTCAACCCAGACAAGGTTCACGGTTAATTCGATAGCAATTCTATGCAATCTTATAAAAAACACCGATCAAACTACAAACTACGAATTGGACTCCGATTCCTCAAAAGAGGATACGTATACATACGATAAAAATCATGGCAAGTTCCCCTATGAAAATTAAAACCCTTACCCTAAACCTTAAAAACCTAAACCCGGGTATCCTTGCGAACAAGGTAAATGAGGGGTTTCTAACACCTTCCCTTCACCTAAATGAAGTCATAACCTAGAATCTCTATATACAAAATTAGGATTTCCTATTAGACTCCCATCCTTAGGATAAAAACTAGTAGTGGCGACTCGATTTAAAAACCAATTACAACATCGTCTGACAATCAATTCTAAACCCAGTTCTCATCAGGTAGTTAGTTCCTGTCTAACAATCAATTATAAACCTTATTCTCGTCTGGTAGTCAACTCGTATGACAATCAATTCTAAACCCAGTTCTCATCTAGTAATCAGTACTCTTCTGATAATTATTCCAAAACCTAGTTATCGTCTGGTAGTCAATACTCGTCTGACCATTAATCCAAAACCCAGCTCCCGTCTGGTAGTTAGTTCTCGTCTGATAGCTAGTTCTCGATTAAGCCCATTTTTCGCCTGGTAGTCAATTCTCGTCTAACAGTTGATATTTTCTCAGTTCTCTTATGATAGTTAGTTATCCTTTGTCATTCTTCCTTGGTCATCGATCATATAATGATCTTGACCTGTCTTCTTTTTGTTGGTTAGATCGCGTTGTAATAGACCTTTCAATGGTTGTCGATCCTATTCTTCTGGCCATCTCCCTTGAGAGCATCATATTGGCATTGTTGCCGTGACACAAGCTATCACCATTCAATCACACTCATTCATCACAAACCTTCGCACCAGAAAAACAAATATTCTTTCCTCAGCAGATATCACAAAAAAATAACAACTCACTCACACCATCTTTTCAGGACATGATTTTAGTATTGGTATTTAATCATCTTCTACCTCGAACGCTCGAAAGGCTAGTGCTAATCTCACTTTGAAGTTTAAGAGGATTAAATAGGGGCCATTATCATACCCCAAATTTGTGCTACCCCTTTACAAGAATCGTTTGGCTTATGCATCTCGTATTATTCATGTACATACTCCATTAAGTAATCTAACATGTTTATATAATCCATCATAAATGGATAATTTGGCAGGGGAGCAAGAATCTTCAAGAACTAGGATTTCAATATTGGTTTTCAGTTGAGATTGCGTTAAGCTAGGGTTTGGTTCTTGTTAACCATTTCAATTCTCATCATCCATCTCCAAGAGTTCTTTAAGGCATTTATATTAAGTGCTACACAAGTCAAGATATATTTAAAGATTGAGGTGCAAAAGCATTGAGTTATCATACAAAGATGTTGTTGTAGAATCATATGGTAATCAAAGCATTGGTATTGTTTGTTACTTCAATTACAAGTTAGCTTGGATTTGGAGAATTGAGTCTAAGGGTTCATGGAAGTACAAGGTGGTTTGAGTTCGTCATTGAAATTCGGAATTTGATGACTTATCAAGCTCATTCAGTGTTCATTTTGGATTCAAAGAATAATTTACATCATTGCAAAAGCATAGGTCAATCTTCATTCACAAGGCATAATACAAACAAAGCCATTTCATGTTATCATTACATCTTTGGAACTTTAGACAAAAAGAAAAAGACTTTACAAATTGAGTTCATGGCTAAGGATACAAAGTTCTAAACTTAGTGCTAAATCTATGCACTTTGTCCCAAGTTTCTTCATGAGACATTATTTATTTCTCCATCCCAAGGATGCTACTATCTCTTCATGGTAAGATCGAAAAGATGTCGAAGAGTTCAAATTGAAGCAGTTTTGAGCACATTATATTTCTAAATGCCTTGTCCATTACAACATCATTCCATTATAAAATTCAATAACAAAAAAATACAAACACGTCATTCAATTCAAGAATTACAAAGTTACAAGGACTCCTAATTGGACTTGTTCGTACTCTAATCATTATCTTCACCATATGCCTACATGTTGTCTTCATTTTAACTTCCTTCAAACTTCATTTTGTGCCATTATGCAACATCCAGCCTTGCTTTCAAGAAGATTCACGACCTGTTGCATCTTCAAAAGAGATCCAAGAACCTTGCATTATGAACCATGAAACTGGTCCTGCAGCAACCCAAACCTGCTGCTACTGAATACCAAATCACTTCCCTGCATAAATTTCTAGACCCACACACATACATTAATGGTCATTCAAAACGCAAAAAAATAGTCCAATTAACCCGCATATCAATCCAAATAAAATCCACAACAGAAACTTCTCGTTAATCGGTTCAAAAGCATACAAACAACTAACCATTAATTCAAAACCAGTTCAACATAAGTCTATACCATTCCAGTCTTGCACATCAATTAAATTGAATAGGTTCGTAGTTAAACGTGAAATTGGTTGGAACTAATCAATTCATGGAAACAAATCTGGGAAGGGAGTTAAACTAGCTAATAGCCCTGCAAACATCAAATACAACTAACTAACTTGTAATAGAATTCCCTAACTAACTATTTTCTAAACCTTCTAACTGTAACTAAATCTAATAGAATATAACTAAAAGTGCCAGCTCATTTAACAAATTCTAACTAACCCTCTAACTGCCAATGCCAGCTTATACTAACTATAACTAACAACCATAACAGAACTTCCAACTGACTCAATTTGACTCTTTATTTTCTTAACAGAAAATCAGTTCTAACAGAAAAGAACATCTCATAACAAACCCAATCTTAGATTAAATATCCACCCTTTATCTCCCTAACAAACTAACATAATTCCTTAACAAATCCAACAACATATATAACAGAAATTCAGAGTTACAGGAGAGGATTCACAATCATTATCCAACACATAAAAAAAATTCACAAAATAATATTATTCATTCAGAGAAAATTTACGAGAAACTTACCATTTTCTAAATCTTTCTCCTCTCTGAATTTACACTCCTCCTTTAAATCTTCATCTTCAACTATCATCATCTTCATTCTTCATCATTTCTAGGGAATCACCACAAAACTTCACCTCTAATTCTTTCTCTCCCTCTGAATACTCCATCTTCATCCTTCATACACCTTCACCATAACTGTTATTCACTGCAACATTCATCTGCAACAAACACTCTTTTTACTCTCTACACAACCACAATGCACATCATCATCATCTTCAGTGCATCATCACAACGACCACACATCATCACACGAGAACAACACAAAGAAATTCACAACTACACAAATTTGCAGAAATGGAGTAGAAGAAGAATAGAAGAATCTTGGATGCTTTGTTATTACATGTTTTTGTTAAAGTCTCTAGTTTTCTCTTTATCTTCGAGCTCTTGTAGGATTACCATAATGATTCTCGGTTATGCAGGTTGGTAGCTTCGAAATTCATGATTCTCAATCTTCTCTTGTTAATCTTGATACCACATGATAGCATACAACGAATGGGATCAAAGCCCTGACGTATCAAGCATCAATTCCACACCATTATTGTTTGATTTCTGCTTTGAGTCTCCTAGGGGTTTTCACGCTTTAGTTTTATTGGGGGAAGTAAGGTATCATAGGCAACAAGCATAGAGGTATTCGTGCTCCGTAGGGTGAAACAAAGATGATGAGTGGAAAACACTAAGGCTCTGCCGCCTCTGGGGCGACAAAGCATATTAACGACAAGATTTTTGAGAAGAGGAAGAAGTGCCGCTGATAAAAGAGAGAAGAGATGAGTTTCAAAGGTATCTCAATAGTCACAAAGTTATAACCCTAGTGTAATACGGTGGGAGAACTGGCTTTTTTTGCATTTTATCGCAAATGTTGCGAATAGAAAAAGTCTCCATCTACTTTTCTTTTATTCAATAAGGAAAGTTTAAAAGAACAGGAAAGACCTTTGATAGATTTTGAGTTCGGGGGTAAGTTATGAAAAGAGAAGGTATTAGCACCATTTTCATTCTTAGTTATATACGGTCTCTTAATTTCATAGCTCACTTTAAACTTGCTTTGTGTGTGTGTGTGATTTGAAAATATTTTGAATGCCAATGGTGAGGCAGACTTTGTAATAATTCTTGTATCAATCCTCAAGAATGAATACAAAGTTTTTTTTTGAAAATATTTGTTTTGAAACGTGAGGTGTAAAAATGAAATTGTTTGTTTGAAACTGTTATGAGCAAGCACTTTGTTGAGTCTTACCCACTAAAGGTTGTTCTTGTTATTTTCCTTCTCCGTTAGAGATAATACTATCCACGCCATTAGTTGGTAGATAGCCCTATCTCTTGGATGTGAAGGGACAGGCGTAGGTTTGTCGTATGGTCATAGAAGGCAACATGTAAGGATACTTTTAGCAATTCGAAGGGACTATCATCATTTTTATCGTAGGGTCATCGAAGGGACTATATCATTTTGTAGGCAACTCGAAGGGTCGTCGAGGAATTATGATCTTTAATCGAAAATGACCATGATGATATTGTTTAACCGAGGGTCTTTGCTAAAGTATTCCTATTTTCGAGGGACATGACCAATGTTTTTCGAAGGCAACAAAGGGAATTACCCTAGAGGTGTATGTTTTCAAAGTGATTCAATTACAATTATGTTATTTTTGAATTATTTAAGGTTATCTACCGATTAATTTTATCTTTCCATACAAGCCTATTACTACACAGTTATATATATATATATATATATATATATATATATATATATATATATATATATATATATATATATATATATATATATATATATATATATATATATATATATATATATATATATATATATATATATATATATATATATATATATATATATATATATATATATATATATAAGGCATAAAGTATAAGTGCGGAAAACTAAAGTCCTATGCTATTAGAGGGCCTTGGGGGTAGTTATATGATAAAGAAATTGTGCCGGAGTTTAAACTAGGTAATTACAAAAAAAACTGTGCGACCTATACAATTGTTTCTAGGAATTTAAATGCAAAATAAAAGTAAACAAAAATAAAATAAAGATCATCCGAAAGTCCTAAAATCTAAAATATTAGAAATCAATTTTTGGAAAAATAATGGGCTCAAGGAGATAAAAATTGACAAAGTTATGATCTTTTGAAGTCACATAAGGGAATTTGATAGCCTATCTAGAGGACATATAATCTTTCTTCATCATTAGGAATCTTCCACACCAAATTTTCTTGGAACTCTTGAAGTGATTAGTTGATACCCATTTAAGGAGAAGCATGCCTTTGGAATCACCCACAAACACAAATGATGACCAAGATATAGCCCTTAGAAGTTCAAAACCCTAGCTACTCAAGCACCAAAATGACTTGGAAACCTTTTTCAATTTTGATAATATTTTTTGCACAATAACTTTTGCCATGTGAATAAAAATTGTTGAGGATGATAATAAAAAACCATAGCAACAAAAACCACTTCCAAATATTAATAAATGAGAGAGTTATACACTTATGATCAAGGAATCAAGAGCTTGTCCAATTAGGTCAAAGCTCTTCAATTAACCCTTGCATATTTTGAATTTGTTTGAAAAATTGAGGCGTGATGAATCATAGTAGACATTATCATGATGTACTTTAAAGCCTCCTCAATGATGAAGCTTGAATATCAATATGGTTTTGTTGAAGAAGACATGGAAATAAACTCATGAACCTATGAATCAACCTGATTAAGTGTGTTATTCCCTCACCTATAGTATCATCCATTAGAGCAAACATTCATTGCCTTTATTAGTTAAAAGTTAATCAATACAAAACATATATGATCACAATATACAAATCAAGGTGCTTGGTGATTCCTCGTGAGCAAACCTAAAGATAGGGAGAAGAACCACATTGTAGTGTGATCTTGTTGTGATTGATTTGATATGAGACGATTGAGGAATCTTAGGGGCGAAAATTAGGATACAACATTAGGGATGCCCTTATTTTTTCCTAGGCCAATCAACCTAGCGGGTCTCTTTTTCATGCGTAGTATTTTTTACTATGTCTGCATTCACAGGGCGCAGGGAATTTTCATTGTCCATGGTAGTAAGTCTTGTAGCAGCGCCAAAAAATATTTGCTTGATCATACGTGGCCCTTTGTATGGAGAAGTCCATTTTCCCCTGGAATTATTCTGGTGCACCCGATGTTTGAAGTTATTGATCAACCACTGATTACCAGGATTCTTATAGTCTTTACCTTCCTCAGTATTTTTCTAAGAATTGTCACGTCAGAATGACACCATCTGATACTGCTTATATAGACAAGAAAATTGGTGATATGGAAGATTCAATTTTCATATTGGGTTTTGATGAAACTCATTATCAATGTAAGATGCCCCAATTGATTCAGATGGAGATCTTCCCCTGGATATTCAACACTTTTGAGGGATTCTTTGAATCTTGACTTGGCTGCCACAGATGACTTGGACAATAACATGTCATGACCCTTGATTTATATCCAATTGTGTCCATGAAAGGCTTGTTAATGGAAATGTATTTCTCTTTAACCCATCCTCTGAAGTAATTATATCCACTGGGAGGATTTTCATTCATTGAATATTCGTCATGCAAATTTCTCTACTGTCAAACAATTAGTCATATGCAAACTATGGTATTAAAACGCAAAGCTTATATCTGTCTTGAAGTTTCAAAAAATGCATTTTTTAGTAACACAAAATTTGTAAGAATGTGATATCAACTCAGGATATATAGTAAGTCTTACAGGAGTCAGGATACCTTTTTGTAATAGTATGTTTTTGAACTAACCTATGCTTCAATTAGGACTTTGAAGGGTTGTAACATGGTATGGTTCACGGTTTAAGAAACAAAGGATAAAGGCTCAAATTCTATTTGTAACCAACCTGTTCTCCATGATGTCCTTCAGTCCTATACTCAATTAATTATGCATTTAGGTTCCAATAGAGTTTAGAATTATAGCACTGATACTTGGTGATGGTTCAGAAACCGAAAGTTTATTTGAGAAGGCAGTCATTTTTTCTTGTAACATATTTCTTTTGTTGAGGATTTGTAGCGACTTCTTTTTGACTTAATTATCCCTAACTTTTGCCTGAACTGTTTTGTTTGAGATTAAGTCAGCGGGATGCCCCAATTTTTTCCCTAAGTCTCCTTCATAGGTTTCGACTTAGCAGGCTTTTCTTTTGAAAATATAATGGCTGCCCGACTTAATGATTATGGGGAACCATCACCAAATTTTTATTTGGAAGGATGTCTTCGATACTACCTGTTGTGTATGAAGGAAAAGATCGTGGTTGAATTCATAATTGAATTAACTGAGAAACTACCTTGCCCCAGGTTATGATTAAGGGTTTCAATTTGTGTGAAAAAGAAAACTCCTATTTTTTAGGCTCAAAGGGGTTGACTAGGGGTTAACTTCTTTATATCTCCATTGTTTAGAAATTAAAGCAACGCATGTACATCATCAGCAAGGTCTGTTCAAAAGCATATTGTATGAGATTATGGTATTTTTTTCATCATCCTCCCTCTAAAGGATTGTAGCTTTTAATGAGAGTTGAATATCATAAAAGGAAGTAAAAATCACAGTTTAAATATATAGTGAAAACGAATGGATTAATTCAAGAGAAATATACACAATGCATTTATCTTGCCATACACACCTAATTACTAGCATTTGTACAAAAGCAATAAAAAGTGCAAAAAATAAATCCTACACTATTACAACCATATTGATTTGTATAGAAATATAATGGCAAAAATAAGATAAAAAGAATAACAAAGAGCTCCTTCGATTGGGGGGAGGAGTTCCCTTCGAATCTACTTCTATTGGCCTCCTTCGATTGGGGGATAACATGCAGCAAGTCATGGCCTTCGATTGGCCATGGCAGCAGCATGGCGTGGCCTTCGATTGGGTATTGGTAGTAGCTAGGCGTGCCTTCTTGGTCTACCTTGTTGATTTGTTTCCTTCTTCGATTGAGGCTGACAGCAACAAGTCATGGCCTTCAATTTTGGCTGGACCTAGTGCAAATGTGCCTTCTGATTTTTCCTTTCTGGGGCTTGGAGGTCAGCATGAGCATGTATTCTGGCTGGGCCTGGATGTTAGAATTGAAGCCCAAGGCTTCATTTAATGTCTTTCTTTCCCCTGTCTCTTTTGTTTGAGTTTAATAACAACATAGCTTAAAGCCATATTAGCATTTGTCTAGTGGCCAAGTGAATTTATTTAAGGCATGTTTAATAATCTCAAGCAACAAGAAAACAAAAGATTAGCTAGAAAAATAGATTCAAAGGTTGCAAACGAAAGGGAGGCAAAATTATATATACATGTTATGTCTGAAACGAAGGATGCAAGGGTAAGAGTAACTTACCTAGCTACAGCCTTGAAGGTGAGTTGGGCCTTGAGTGGCTCTAGATGCTGGAT